ATTCCAAACGAAGTTCTTCCACAAACATCCGTGATAACGCATCTGGAACAACATTTTGTGAGCCTTTTCGATGTTCTACTTCAAAATGAAAACCTTGTAGTTTAAGACTCCATCGGGCCAGTCGGCCGGATAAATCTTTCTGATTCATAAGCCATTTCAAACTAGCATGATCTGTTATTATGGTGAACGGTAATCCTTCTACACACTCAAAACTGCTGCATAACATTCCAACTTTGTGACGCTGTAATTTCGCTGTGCCTTGTTTAGTTTAGCTGACATGTATGCGATTGGTCTCTCATTTCCTAACTCATCTACTTGAAATAAAACCCCTCCCACGCCATCACTGGAAGCATCACATTGGATATAAAAATGACGTTCAAAATTTGGATTGGTCAGCACTGGTGCAGACACTAAACTATTTTTCAGGTTTTTAAAAGCATCTCTAGCATTCTCAGACAAAGAAAATTTTTTTATTTTATCCTTGGTTAGACAATCGTGCAAAGGTGCAGCAATAGATGCATAATCTTTTATGAACCGTCGGTACCAACCAGTCATGCCTAAGAATCGCCGAAGTTGTTTTGGTGTTTTAGGTTCTGGGAATGCGTTCATTGCTTCTACCTTGCCAGGATCAGTACTTATGCTGCCATTTCCTACCACATAGCCTAAATATTTCACCTCTCTGTAACAGAATTTACTTTTCTCTACATTCACAGTAAGATTTGCGCTATTCAGACAATCAGCAACTTGCTTAAGGAGTATTAAATGACCATCAAAATCGACGTTTCGCTCACTTGAATCCATTTGCAACACAAAATTTGATGCACGCACGTTATTCTAATTTTTAGTCCATTATAAAAATCGCCACACAAAAATTTTTCGACTTCTTTGTATAGACGTCAAACAAAAACTAATATGCGTTAAACTTGGACAAAATGTGTATAATAGTGTTGCCAGCGTGAAAATGAAAAAAAATTACCGATTGGATAAGCGCGGGAATTCAAAAATTAAAATTCTCGTTCTATTTTGATCACAAGGTATATTCAAAAATCTGATCAATTTCAGTTCCTTTCATATTAAATTAAACTATTTTTAATACTTTTTTAATTTGTCTCCCAAACAATTTGCTTTGGAAAGAGTTTGTGCAAAATTGAGAAAAAACTCCTATTCCCATGCGATTCAAAATAACAATATTGGGAACAGGGAACAAAGCTCCCATTCCCAAATTATTCAGAATAGCAAACTTTGGGATAGGGAACAAACTCCCATTCCCATGCGATTCAGAATAGGGGTGATTATTTTCCTGAGTACCTTCTTGAGATAGTGTTCTAAACTTTATTTTGACTGTCCGTTGGGTGACTAGGATTAAGGAAGGCGCCTCATGTAATTTGCAGCACCTGTGTAAGGCTTCTCACAGGTTGTGTTGTGTCCACCTGTTGTTTAACTTAGTGTCCTCAGAAGCCGCTCAAGGCACGCCGGTGTTGGGGTGGGGTTCTTAGCAACTGAGGCTACACCGTAGACAATAACAAGAAAAAATAATTCGTGCCATGTTCTTTTAATTCTTATTCTAGCTAATTAAACCTATCCATCCTTCATTAATATTTCATTTCTATCCTTATTTGTATTCCTATACTAATATTCAAATAATGATTATTATTTTTACACCTTAATCCAAATCCATTAATTATCTCAATGATAACAAAAAAACTATTATTTAATTAATTCATTTACTTGACGTACATTACTTCAATATTTCCACAGACGAGAAGAAAAAAAAAAATAATATATAACTCAAATTACTATAATTTATTTGAGTTTCCTCAACTTAAAAAAGTCCTCATCGAACAGTATGGGCAGCGTCTTGCCTTTGATAGTTACTACTACTGCAGCTGCCTTAGGAAGCTCAGTATATGCCAGGCTTACTCCCAAGTCGCAAGTTCCACCTCTGGGCAACCCTACGGCTTTTGCTTCAGCTATGGTGGCCTCCTCCATATCCCAGTCGACGTTTTTAGCCTTGCCAGCCTGTATTGTACTGGTTTCCTCAAAAGTGGGAAACACTGGTAACACATCTGGTAGGGCTTGATTGCTGTTCGTGAAACGTTTCATTTTTAACAAATAAATGACTACAAATTTTTTTCTCTTTTTTAAGGAATCCCTGCCTTAGAAAAAATGATGGAAACACCAAACTAACACCACCCCGTTATATAAATTCAAGATCTCATAATGAACTCATCAAGAAAAATAAAAAAAATTATAAATAATCCAAAAACAATATATACTTGTAAATTTTTTTTTTCTTTATTTTTTTTATATTTACTAAATATAAAAATAAAAAATATAAAAATTGTTTTATACAACTTATAGTATGATTTGAAAATTATTAAACAGATCTTATAAAATGTTTACACCTATATAAATATTCATATTATTCCACAATGAATTTAATTTACACATATTTTCTTTTTCTTTTATCAATATTTATGAATTCTAACTAGTATTAACAATTTTACACAATATTTCTGCGTATATATATATTTACATTCTTCAAAAATATCTTTAATTTATATACATGTTTCTATTAATAATCATATACTAAACATACCGTGATTATACGGTTTCATTCATTTCTTTTCAAAAAAAAAAACAATATATATAAAAAAAACTCCCTAACCAAAGGGCAAACAATTGAATAGAACAGAAAGAAAAAAAAAATTGAATAAAATTAAAACCAAAACAAGTCCAGTGATTACACCGGAATATTATTATTTAATCAACGTAGGAACAATATCAGTGAGACTACAGATTTTAAGAGAAAAAAACCAAAAAAAAAAATTGTAGCACTAATAACAAAAATAAAAAAGCCACCAAAAAAAAAAAAATCAATTATAAAAAAACATTTAATTTTTAGCAGTGAAACTTAGCTACCGCATTTAAATTTGCTATTTGCTCATATAGCTTACCTTACAGCCGCAGAAACGACGTCACTCCAGCCACCGCTGATCTAGCTATAAATTACAAACTACAAACAAATAAGTAAAGAAATAAATATATATATTGGTGATTATAAAGGATTTTCTTTTTCTTTTCTTTTTTTTTTTTTCTGTTCTGATATTTCTATCACTTTGGTACAATATGTATAATTCAATATGTATACAATATGTATAATATGTATAATTCCTGGGAGTGACGCAAAAAAAAATTATTGTAATAATCAAGTCACTCAAATCAGTTTGGCATTAACTATCTATTCTTTTAAATGATCAAAGAGCAACACAAAAAAAAAATATAATGATTTAATTTAAAATTGATAATAGATAAAAAAAATAAATTTAATAATAAAAAAAATTGAAAATTATGCAATTCGATGCTTTAAAGTTCTTTTTGTTTCTATATTCAAGCTGTGTCCTTAAGAGCTGGAATACCTGGCCACCGTTGTATCCTAACGGTGGATCCTGCTGCCGTTACCGTTCTCAGTTTCCGTTATTTCCTTTTATGTCCGTTAGAGGTTGGATATGATGATTTTTTTTTCTTTTTTTTTTTCTTAATTTATGCGGTGGAATTTCAAATCTTCGCGTAGCCTTTTCTCGCCTGATGATTAAATTAATTGTACTTATTGGCTGTAATTTCTTTTAAATTCCAATTTTTACTAATTTTAAACAATTTTTGTTATATATTTGGCTATTTCTCGACTTTAACCACTTCTGATAGGTTTTATTAAAAATTTTAGTTAATTTGTAAAAGCAAATTCTCGTTAAATCTTTGTGTTTTTATGCACTTTTAATAAATTTTTAGAATAAAAACGAATTTTTGTTAAATCTTTGTGTCTTTACGCACTTTTAATAAATTTTTAGAATAAAATGAATTCTCGTTAAATCTTTGTGTTTTTATGCACTTTTAATAAATTTTTAGAATAAAACGAATTTTTGTTAAATCTTTGTGTCTTTACGCACTTTTAATAAATTTTTAGAATAAAATGAATTTTTGTTAAATCTTTGTGTTTTAAGCACTTTTAATAAATTTTTAGAATAAAACGAATTTTTGTTAACTCTTTGTGTCTTTACGCACTTTTAATAAATTTTTAGAATA